CGCTGCAAGATCCCAACTCCAACGTCCGAAGATTGGGACTCCAGAGTTTTTCTGCTCTGTCGACACATGGTCAGTTCATTTTCAGAGCATTTTTCCTGCTGGCTAAGGCAACTTCACATCAGCCGCGATCCACTCAATATTATCAGCCCCAGGAACAATGCGAAACATCATCGCAGCGCTCGATGATCCCAGCCCTGCCGTACAGCAAGCGGGACGTGAGACGATCCTCAGTATAGCAAACCACGGTGACCTATCTCGTTGTTCCATGGTGCAGGACGCTTACGACGCATGGCTTAACTAGCAAGTTCAATGCCCGGAATGATCCACGAAATCATCTCGATTATTTGGACTCCCCAAGAAGATTTGCGAGAATCGGGACTTGAGACCGTTCTTGCTCTCGCAAAACAAGGTAGGCTTCGCGTTATACTAGCAACAATTACCACCGACTGTTCGCAAGATGTTGGCTATGCGGAAGTTTTCAAGCCAGACATGATCGAAAGAATTTTCTCGATGCTGGTACGACCAGAGTGGGAGGTCCGAGAATCAGCCCGTAGAATCATTCGTACTCTATGTGAGCACGGTGAGCGCACGACTTTACATCCAGCAATGCGTCACTTCTCAATCCATTCAGACACCTTTGGTGCCGCAATTGCAAAGAGGGAAAGCCTCTCACAAATTATTTTAATGCTGGGCGATCCGCATTGGGATGTACGATGTATGGTACTTGAGATTATATACACTATTTCACACAAAGGTGCGAGCTTATATTCACCGAGACCATTCGTGACCCGAATTTTATCCCAGCTGTTGTTCCTGCGGCAATTTTAACGCCAGAAACAATTCAGGCAGTTTTCATGGGGCTCCAGGATCCCAACTACAACGTACAGCAATGGGGACTTAAGATTGTCTCGGCTCTTGCAAAGCATAGTAAGTTGAACCTCTTTCTCCCTCATATTTCAACCTAAGTTTGGCAGCCGAAGTGCATGCAACACTCTCAAAGCCGAACTCAATTCAACCAATCGTCACGAACCTACGGGATCCCCATCATGATGTCCGACAAGCAGCCCTCGACACTGTGCTTTCTCTTTGTCACCACAGTGAAAATCTTCGTCCATCTGTGCTGGTCATCAGCTAGCTAACTTCAACCAGTTGAGGGGTTCGCGACCATTTTCAAGGCAGAGATGCTTGCCCTACTGTCAGGTACAGAGGTGGGAGTGCGAAGATTCGGACCTCAGCTCTTTTTGGCTTTATCCCAATACGGTGGGCATCCCAAACCATCAGGGCTCCTCGTGAATTGACTGCCAAGCAGATGAACTGCGCCCGGCGATGGCCACTCCCGAGAAGATGGAAGAATTCTTTTCAATGCTGTTTGATTCGAAGTCAGAAACTCGAGAATGGGGTCTTGAGATTGGGGTAACTCTTGCGAAGACCGGTGAGCTTTGATGTTGGTCGGCGTCCTGGTGTGAAGTAAATTGCAACCAGCTCGCCGTTGTATGGAATTTTCAATGCCGGGCACAATTCACAGGATTATGTCGATGCTGGTGGACCAACAATGGTTTGTGCAAGAGTCGGGTCGTAGGTTTGTTCTCGCCCTTGTGGAGCACGGTGAGTTTCCATACCCACTCCAACCTATCCTTGAACCAAACGTCAAACAGCCGATTTCCACGCTGCAATATCGACACCAGAAATAATGCAAAATATTATCACGATGCTCCATAATCCACAGTGGTATGTGCGACAATCCGGAGTGATGATTCTATCCGCCCTTTCCCGCCAACCTGTTGCCATCCACCCCTTGATTTCAACGGCCGAGACCATTCAGACAATCATCGATATGCTCCAAGATCCGATGCCTGATGTGCGACAGTCAGCACTTGACGCCTTCACTTTTCTCGTACAAAACGGTGAGATTGCTCCGTCTCTGTATCGCTCATCGGCCGATCTGTTTGCAGAGGAGGAGGTCCGCATAACAATTTCAAGGCCTGGACCAGTTGAAGCGATCATGACAAAGCTGGGAGCCCTAGATTTTACCCTGCGGCAGTTCGCATTTCGGAGTATTCTACCCCTGATAGAGCACGGTATGTCTTGAATTTTACCCCCTACATTTCACCTCATTGTCGGACAGACACTGTGGCTCCAGCCCTGTCTACAGCAGAAACCTTCCAAAGGATTGGCACAATGCTACAGAATCCTAACTCCGGTTTGCAACGTACGGCACTGGACACTGTTTTCTCTCTTGCGCACAACGGTAAGACTCGTTCTCTGCTCGCTGTGAACCGACCTTCAACTTTAACTAGCCAGCATTCGTGGTGCCCTGCTGTCGCACGGCGTACTCCAGATCATCATCCGAATGATAGCAGCCATCTGGAAGACGCCAGAGGATGTAAACCTGGCAGTTAGATGTCTATGTACTCTCGTAGAATATGGTGAGATTTTGTGCATTAAAATACATGCCTCCTCACGTTCCCCAGATGATATTAGAGACTTCCTGTCAACCCCAGATTCGGTGGCGGCCATTGTGGAGATGATCGATGGGGGCTCTGGCGACGGGGCGATTTTCCACTTCATGAACATACTGATTGGCCGGCGTGAGTATACCCAGCGTTGCCTGGAACACCTTATACGATCCTCACATGGGATTCAGAGCCAAACATATCCCTCATCAGCACTCCTTTGGTTCGCAAAACCCTTCAAATAGTCTACGCGGGTCCTCGCGTGCGGAATTCCTACATCAAAATAATCCGAATGTTACCCTCGTGAGTGCAAATCAATGTGTCTCCGGTCTCCTGACGACTTCGGGAAAAAAACAGGTCCGCTGCCTTTCCGTCCAACCATACGGAACAAATAGTCACGCTCCTCAATAATCCGGACGCCTTGATTGTGGCGGATGCCGTACAGATTGTGGCACATTTTGCGGAGAATGGTAGGCTCACAGCCCTCTTGGGACAGCCTGATACACCGTATAATCTCCTCCACAGCTCAATTCCGACTTGATATTCTCAGGTCACAGATTTGCGAAGTCACAGTAAAACTAATTAGGCGCCATGATACCGCAGCAATGGCCCTTACGATGGTCACAGCGTTGGCCAAATATGGTGAGTCTGTTGAGGCCTTTACATCGCCGCGCACCATTGATTCTCTCGTTAGATGACACTCGCAGTTCAATAATCCTGGAGAAATCAGGGATTGTTCATGAATTCATGGACATGATGAAGGCCGGCACGACTGACTTTGATCGCTGGCAAGGAGGTGTGAAGGGATTGCTTGCGTTGGGTTTGTTTTAGCCCTCCAAGTTATTACCTAGGTTGCCAAACACGATAATATACCTATACGGATCGCATACCTTGCCCCCCTCCAAGTAAAAATCATTCGCGAGCTGAAGCACCACAAGCGCCGGGAGTCGAATCCGAAGTTCCCGCTGCGAAGAAGCTGTCAACTCAACTTATATCAAGTGGGAGTCCGCCGCACCTCGTCTGAATTAAGCTCAGGCTTGCAAACCTGGGTATCTAAGTTGCAGCAAGCGAACTGCCTCAGAAGTAAGAATTCCGGAGACACTCAAGATCTTTTGAAGATCTAATGAACCATTTAACCTGTCAAACTGTGACCAAGGCAAAGATCGACGGAACCACCAGTCGAGTGAGTTGAGCCACGGGCTTCGTGTTCCACAGCACCGCAGTAGAGGAGTCGAAATGGAAGCACCGCATCCTATGTCTGATTTGGTAGACTAATTATTGGAACAAGATTCAGGGTTCCCGGCTTAGCGACAACGAACAAAAAGCACAACGCAACTTGCCCTTCATTGGGACGCCGGGAGTCGAACCCAGGCTTGATTTCCATGAGTAGAAGCAGGGGTGCCCGTGCACCACATCCGACTTTTCCGCTGGCCTGTAAAACCAGCTGACAAAGAAATATTAAACGCCGATCCGCTCGAAGTAGAAAACACGTACCCAATTAATACGGGGTGCATCGGGACAAGGAAGCAGAATTGTCACCGAAGACCCCCATTCGGACGTCGGGAGGCGAACCCGGGCCTCCCGTTCTGCATGGTTGGTTGAAGGGCGGCAATAGGAGCAGGGGTGCATCGTGCTGGTGCACCACGCCCGATTTATCAGTTAGGTCGCGGACGCGAATATCGTAGTATTACGTACTGTAAGCGGTACTGCCTTGAATAAGAACTAGCAGTTTGCCCGTGCTACGCTACGGGACATTTTGCATGATCAGAAAAAATCTACTACGGGAGCTGAGACCCTGAGAAATTTTGAGGCTTAATCACGCCACTCACCAACCTTCGGTTGGTTCCTCGTGGCCTGATAGGCTAGTGGCGGCCAACCAGAACTAACACAACAGGACCTAAAATTTTCTACTTCTGCCTCTAATTGCAGCGCGCCATCTGGCAGCCGCCAGTGGATCCCATCTATCTTTTCAACCCAGAAATCACAACTTCTGTCCAACTAATTTGAGATCTCGAGACGTGTCTTGGCCCACGCACATCATGTTCATCCTGCAGATGCTTGGGTAAATTATCTCCCTCATCTTCCACAGTTTCCATTATCATCACATGGCACTCATCCAATTCCTCATACAATAGCCGGACCGTTTTTGCTGGCGGACACCGACGCACATCGCGGAACATCAGAATTACTTACACCTCTAGGATGGGGAAAGAGCTGGAAGGCCGGAGCTTTGAAGAAAGCCTGGTCTTGGATATTTTGAAAGCAGTCAGCGTGATGAAGTACATTCCGCGCGATGTGTATAAGCTACTCCTGGTACAATGATTGTTTGCCAGTATGGAATTCCATGTAGCCTTCAGGTTGCGTTTTGAACCTGTGTATTGCTGGCTGACGTCCTACAGACCCCTCTGCTCATTGTCAATCTCACCCTTTAACAATTCCAACTCGTACCTTACTCTTGAGGGAAATTCCGTCGGAAATGATCAATGCGTGAACTGCGTGCTCTGGAAAATATTGCAGCGGTGTGGATTTTCGTAGATATGAGGAAAGCACTCCTGAGCTCAGTGGTAGAGCGTCGCATTCCAGGAATCGTGGTTTCATATGCTTCGCGAAGGCCGTCCGTTCAATCCGGGCAGGGGTCAGCTTTTTGGGCCTCCGGGCGGAATACGTTGTGGACCTCGCGAGTATAATAAATCCCCCCCCCCGTTATGCTTCAGCATGATATGACTCGGTTCGTTAAGCGAGCCTCGGGATCAAATAAAGTTCGCGTCCTTGATGGATTTCCCCAGATCCAACCCTGGATACTGGACCCTTTCTCTCAGCGCATATGCCAGTCTTCTCTTTATAGACCGCGTCAGTATAATATATCCTCCTCCTCCTCCTCCCTATCGTCGAACACTGTTTATTTATTTTTTGCAGTGCCGGTGCGAACGGAGGACATTTTGATGCAATCACACTGCATCCATATCGGGTCATGCAAGGGTGTGAGTCAGCGCGCCTACGACCTCTTGCCAGTGTCCATCTCAACCATCGCTTACAACTGGAGGGGATATTAAGAGCGCTTCCTGTCGAGTAAGATTTAATGTCGATTTTCTCACCGATCCAACTCAAATTCAAGCGCTTCTACAGCTTCAAGTTCCAGAAATAACTGGCACACCTGGGAATATAGATGGTTCCGGCGCGCCCGTCCAACCCGTGCCTAAATTGGAGTGCTGTATCCTAGCGCCAACGGGGTGATTTATTAGCCATGGCGGTGAATCATATTTTTATCACCTTGAACACGGCCATAAACCCGCTTCTTCAGCCTCATATTCCCTCGTCGGGGCATACACCCACCGCCGCCGCCCAGCTGCGCTTCAAAAGTCTCTCTCACATTGACCATTTCACATCTTGTGGCCCGAAATCCTCCGAAGCCACAATGTACATACTCAGTCCAAATTTCAAGGTTTTTTCATCTCGTGCGCGGCTCAGGGCCACCATAACCTCGTGGCACAGGACACTGCGCTCCAGTCTGCGCGGGATCGGCCGGGACTGACTGGCGGGGTGCTCACCTCCATCGTTGCCGTCGTCTTTTTCTTTTTCCTCGCCTGCTGGAGACGACTCAATCGGTGGCGATCATCGAGGAACTGAGCGTGAACGGAAGATTCAGGTGTGTTTCGTCGATTGCTTCCAATCAGCCGCGAAAAATGACATCTCCATAGAAGAACACCAACTAATTTGTACATGAATGGACCTATAAAATGGCCCACTTCGACTATACACCTCGAGTCGAAGCGGGGATTATTTCGCAGTCCAGGTTTATTTCGCCGCGGAAGACGGACGTTGTAGTAATTCAGGCGTCTTCGCAAAAGGACAATCTGCTAGCTCCGCGTTCTATGTGGGTGGGATATTGAAAATGACCGGCGACATCAGTATTCGGTGATATGTATGACCGGTTCCTTCGTCGACCAAGAACTGTTCTTAGAACAGCCAAAGACATCCCGTCAGCATTTTTAAAGTATAATTTACCACGTTTTAAGATGTGGGGCTCTTAGCCTGAGGCCGCCTAGTTGAAGTTGAAGTTGTGTCAGAACTGAGTTAACTGACGCTGACTCCGGAGACTATATAGCGTACCTGAGATCAGGTCTAAGATTGGGACAAGATTACTCGGTGTAGGTAAATTCGTGCGGCGAACTCTCGAGTCCAATATAGCTGTGGACCTAGATTCCGTTGTAACGTCATGTGACTGACGCGTCGAATCTACAGCGCAAACATGCCCCAACAACGCGTCCATCAAATTTGCTGGAGGCGGTGCGGCCTGGTACGGTGGACCTGTATTCATAAGTCAATAAGTTGAACATTTTTTTTTGGGGGCATTCCCCAGTGCCATTATTTTTGCAACAGGCATCCCACTTTAAACTGAGGCAGAACCGTGGACCAGTGGGGTACAAAGTCAGATCCTCAGCAGAGGAAAGCAGGCTTGAGAGCGGAGCGGCCAGCAGCAGGCCGTTTCATTATGCAATGGATCTTCATGAACATTGCACACAAGGAGTACTAGTCCCGTTCGATTCGGGCTCGAGCTATAAGCAGGGGAGAAAAACCTCTTTCTCGACGCGGTCCAGCTGCCTTTGAAAGGCAATGTTTTGAAGGGACGGGAACCGTCAATTGACGTTCACTGGCAACTGCTAGACTATGCACCTACGGGAAAAACATTTTTATTCAACGAGAAATTGCAAAGTGGACCCAGGCACGCTTGATACCCGCAGGAGCCAGGCAAATGAATACAGCTAACTGGAGCGGAGAAGTCCGCACCTCCGTGGAATAAGCGGGATGCCCCATTGATGCGGACTTGAGCTATGGAGAGTCGGCGGAGTTTTTTTTGGCACTCCTACCTTCTGCCTATGACGTGAGGTACTTTAAAATGGCGGCATTGCGTACTTTCAGGGTTATAATTCCCTCGAGCTCTGAATGGAGAGCACATACATTTCAGCACACGCACAAAACAGCGCACGGACCCAGATTTCAGCTCATACAGAACCCGGTGGACGGCAGAGAAAGCATGGCTCGAGAGCGAAGCGGCCCGCATCTCAGTGAGCAGATACCTTGCAACCCGTTCGACTCGGCCTCGAGCCATATGTCTTACTTTTTTTGATGGCACATCCTTGAGATGTTGGGTTCACCAATGAACTTGTTTCCCTGACAGTAATATAATTTCAATAAACCCAGGAATAAAGCACCGATACGAGCGCCCGTTGAGGCTTTGGAATCCCCAACAGCAGAAAGAAGAGTGATAGAGCGTATGATGTTGATAGACAGCTGGGACCTGAGTGAACTTCGATAGAACTTCCAAGGAACTTCAAACCTTGAGATGAGGATAAACATCGGCGCCACCAACTTGTGGAAGCCTCGTATTAGGACTGGGGTAGGTAGATCCGAGGGCTGGTCAATGGCGCGAAGACCGCCGCGGTAGTTAGGGCGAGATCGGCGGTGGAGATGCCGCGGAACCTGTGGGAGGACGTGGGAATCGGCGTCCCGACTTGGACATGCAAGCACCGGGCCTACCGCATCGGGGCGGGCCTTCCCTCGCGCGCCCACGCCGCCGCATCGACCGCGTCTACTCATAAGCGCGACGGCAGCCCCAGCAGTCTGTACGCAGCGCCCCCTCAATACTCGATGTGCTTCCCGAGCAAAAAGCAGCGCGCGAATTTCGACGCCGCGCCGGATACGCCAGCGACGAGCACGAAAGCTGCTGCCGCTGCCCCTGCTGTATCCCCGTCCAGGGTTCCACCGCCAGCGGCGCCCGCATCGCAGCCCACCACGGAAGCCGAACCCGCACAAGCAGAAGAGACGGCCAGTTCTGGCCCCAAAATCGCGATCGTAGTGTACACGATGTACGGGCACATCGCCAAGAGTGCGTCGCGCCCCTGCATCCGAGTCGTCGTGCGTGCGCTGACTCCGAGGTGTATGTGCAGTGGCCGAGGCGGTGAAGAGGGGCATCGAGCAGGCGGGCGGCGCCGCCACGATCTTCCAGTGCGTCCCCAGCCCTCCCACCCAGCTTGTGCGGCTGTTGATGATTCGGGATTGGGGTACATTTTAGGGTCGCGGAGACACTCCCTCAGGAGGTGCTGACGAAGATGCACGCACCGGCGAAGCCCGCGTACCCGCTCATCACGCCCGACGCGCTCGCAGCGCACGACGCGTACCTCATGGGCATCCCCACGCGGTTTGGGAACTTTCCTGCGCAGTGGAAGGTGCGCCCCTCCGCCCTTGTTTCTCCGTTTCCTCCCTTCCCTCCTCGCCTGACGTTGATGTGAGTGCACAGGCCTTCTGGGACTCTACTTCCTCCCTCTGGGCGACGGGTGGGCTCGCAGGGAAGTATGCTGGCGCGTTCGTCTCCAGCGCGGGACCAGGCGGCGGGCAGGAGAGCACCGTGCTTGCGACGCTCAGTACGCTCGTGCACCACGGTGTGCTTTACGTCCCACTCGGGTACGCGCCCGCGTTCGCGCAGCTCACGAACCTGAGCGAAGTGCACGGCGGTACGTCCACTCTCTTTCTCCCGAGGTGGCCTCCCGAGTCCACATATTCGCTGAGCTGACACGCGGATTGCAGGCTCCCCGTGGGGCGCGGGCACGTTCGCTGCGTCGGACGGATCGCGGCAGCCGAGCGCGCTCGAGCTCGAGATTGCGGAAATACAGGGCAAGACGTTCTATGGTGTCGTGAGCAAGGTCGCATTCTAGGCGGGGCAACAATGCGGACAATGACGTATGACATCGTGAACAAGGGAGAAGGAGGACGGTGTACAATTGTCCGTGATTTTGGAGTCCCGGTGAGTGTGGTGGCGGAGGTGATTGAATGCCCCAGTAGCAGAAGTAGCACACAAGCGCTCCATGTCGAGCTTAGCGGGCATAAATGTGTGCGCTCATCGCCAGAGGTGGGCCGCATGTGCTGGGAAAGTTCACGCTTGAATATGAGGGTTTGTCTTGGGATAGAACGAAAAATTATACACACTCGCTATTGGGCGGTACATGATGCATACCCTCGCTCCACGGCGCGGTTCCGTGTCGGAGGTTGATGCAGCTCAACCGGTTACCGGCCCTGCGGGATCCCGATCAGGTCCAAGAAATGCAAATGCCCCAACTTGGAGATCTTACCTTACAATGCCTAACTAGATTGATGCGACCTGGACAAGGCAGATAGCGCGAGTGAGTAGCATCAGAGCCACAACTGGCTCTGATGCAATCAAGGAGAAAAACTTGCCTTGAGGAACTGATGGAATCAGGGTAAAGGTGTGAGTCGGCGGAGTATTCAATGGCTTGAATGAATAGCAATGAAGTGAGGTGGGCGCACGCTAAGTTTGGGCGGCCGCGACGGCGGGGAAGGCGGAGCTCATCGCGGTCTGGGGCAAAGTCTCGCGGCAGCTGCATCTGTATAGGACGCGGACGGTAATAATTCCCACCCCCGTCTGCAAATTCCCGGGGCGAGGTAAATGTCAAGGAAGATAACCGCGGCACGTACAATCGCTGTAATCGCGGATCTGGAACATATCCCGCCTCATGGATATCTTGGTATTTGGGCGCAATGGGACGTGGGGGATCCTGAGCTGAAGGCGCAGCGAAGGTCGAGCAAGTGACTATTTGAACGAAGTTTTCACGCCTCCGCCGTC